GAGATATTTCTTTGAATATATTTGAAAAAAAAAAAAAAAAGAAACTCCAAATTTTTATTCCACTTTTCCTAACCTTCTCTTCTCTTAGCCTTCTCTCCTGCTCCTCCAATCTTCGCGTCTCTGCCTTTTCCATGGCCCTCAATTCCAAGAACTTTCTCTGTTGCTCCTTCAAAGCGGCAATTTCTTCCTCCTCGAGAACCTCCATCAACGCCTGCTCTATCGTTTTACCAACCAGTACCTCCAGTATTGGTTGCACCTCGAAGTCGAAGTCGAATAGCTAGAAAAGAGGAAAAAAAGGAAAAAATATCGTACTCCAACTGGAATTCTCGAAGAAATTTGCGAAAGAGAGCTTACGTCACCGGGCTCTATTTGCGTAGAGACATCTTCTCCAAGTTTTTCCGGGCAATATTTCGGCGTCAACGGTCTGTCCAAGAAATAATCGGTTTGCGTAGCAACTTCGACCTCGTCCGGTTTCTCGAACAGCTGTAACATGCTTATTATTGTTAGTTGGTGCTATCGAGTTAAAACAAAAGAAAGGAGGAAAAATATTCGAGGAAGAGTATATATATATACCCACCTCTTCGAGGTATATTTCCGTTTGCACGGGCTCGTGTTTTCGGCCAGGAACAGGGGGTGGCGAACCAGTTCTAGCCACCAAACTTTTCGTAGCCAGTGCCTGAGCCCGTTTCCTAGCCAAATTTCTCCTTCTGGCCTCCGCTTGCCTGGCAGCTATCGATCGTTCACCATCGATCTGAGACAAAACAAACGATTATGTCTCCCTATGCGCGCGTATTCTAAACAACGATTTAATTTTGCAATAACTTACAAGAACGGGAGTAGCGGCGAAAGTACTTCCACGAACAACGCGACGATCGAACATAATATTCCCAAAAGGAATTCGTTGATCGCTGTAAAGAAAATATATCATCTTATATATATATTTTTATCAAGTATATAAATTGAAAAAAATCTTGAACAAGCGTCGATTAATTATTTATGAGCGTATACATATATATATATAGTATGCACGCAATTGCAGTCGATAATCATGCAGTCATATCATTCTTCCGTGTATTTGACATCGAAAAATAGTTTTTTTAAAAAATCCTCCTCGTTCATTACTCGGATTTCCGAAAAAGCGTTGGCAAAACTCACGTCGCGTCGTTCCTCCTCGCGATCTTGGTTCGATCGTCCAAGGTCGTGGAGGCGGCCATGGTCGTGGCGTTCATCATTCCGAGGGTGAAGTCGACAGTGGCCTTGAGGGCAGTCGGACACCTGGCTATGTGGCTGCTGTGACGAACTTCCGGTTTCCTCGCCAACGACGCGAGCGATTTGAATTTGGAGCGCAAGGGGCAATTGTCGGTTTCCTCGGCGTCGTTCCCGTTCGACGCGA